AAAATGCTTATGAGTTTATATAAATTCTGAGAATCCCCACTCCAGGATCCCTAACTGACTTTGTAGTAGCAGGCTCCTACAGTTATCCAAGCCCCTGGAGACATGTACACACAAGCTAAGCTAAATGGACTTCATAGGTTACATGTATGTATGTAGAGGTGTGTGTGGATGAACACATGCACATATGTGTACACATATATATGTGCAACAATATATGTGTAACATATATATGTGTAACAATAATAAAGAAGAGATTATTAATTTGGGGGAACTGAGAGGAATTGGAGGTAGGTGTGGAGGAATGTAGATACAGGGCTTATGAAGTTCTAAAAAGTAAAATTAGTAACAAAACAAAAACATTGGACCTCAGAAGTCAGTATGTTTGCATGTGTATTTTCCCAGGTTGTCTGGTTGCTGTCTCACTCAGACTGCTGTGAGCAGATATCCACTGTCCTTACTTGCAATAAAAATCTAAAGACCCTGAAACTGGGCAACAATAACATACAAGAAACGGGCATCAAGCAGTTATGTGAAGCTCTGAGAAATGTTGCTTGTAAACTGCAGAGTCTCCGGTGAATCTCCTGACTGTCGTGGGGGGCTCCCAACTCGGTGAGGAAAATCAGGAGAATTATTAGGTGTGGTGGTTTGTAAGAAAATGGCCTCCAAAGGTAGCGACACTCTTAGGAGGGGTGGCCTTGTTGCAGCAGGTGTGGTCTTGTTGGGGGAAGTGTCACTGTGGGGAGGGATTTGGGGCCTCATGTATGCTCAAGCCACACCCAGTGAGTCAGACTGCCTTCTGATGCATGCAGCTCACGATGTGAGAACCCTCAGCTCCTTCTCCGGCGCCATGTCTGCACCGTGTCTGCCTTCATGCCACTATGTCCCACCATGATGACAATGAGCTAAAAAATAACCACCACAATTAAATATTTCCTTTAAGAGGTGCTGTGGTCATGGTACCTCTTCACAGATCGAAATCCTAAGACGATAGGGTTAAGAATATTCCACCTAGAATAGTCTCAAGTGTTGAGAAAAACGTTAACACCCAGGACTTGTACGAACAACAGCATCTGCTGGGGGTTGAGCATCACACCCTTGTCATGTTTTGCCCACCACAGCATCTGGTCTTCTAGTATCTCTGGGTCCTCTTCTGTGATGATCCCTGAGCCTGGGGGAAGGGGTGACATAGATGATCCATTTGAGACTGAGTCCTCTGTCCTCACTCTCAGAATGTAGATCATCTGTGCATCTCTGTATTACCCAAATCATTGCAAAAGATGCTTCTCTCATGAAGTTTGAGAGCTGAACTAACATATAGAAATAACACTAAGTGGTTAGAACAATGGTTCTCAACCTGTGGGTCCCGACCCCTTTGAGAATTAAATGACCTTTTCACAGGGGTCACCTAAGGCCATCAGAAAACACAGATATTTACATTATGAATCATAACAGTATCAAAATTACAGCTATGAAGTAACAATAAAAATCATGTTGTAGTGTGTGTGGGGGTCCCCACAACATGAGGAACTTTATTAAAGGGTCGCAACACAAGGAAGATTGAGAAGGTAGTTTTATGTTATGTCCCCTTAGCAAAGCAGTAGTAACGGGTTCTCCCTTAGGGCCTACAGCTTGCCCAGCCATAGGCTCTTCACCAGTTTACGGTTCCTGGCATGAGTCAAGTAGTCAGCATTCCAGAGTGGATGGAGGAGGCCCTCAAGAAGCTCCAGCCCAACTGAGGAACTATTGGCAGCTGATGGCAGCTGATGGGAGGAGAGTTAATCTTCTTCAGAGATGGAGTCCTGGTTACCTGTGCTCCAGTGGATCGTCCTAAACCCAAGCACCTAAGGCAATGCTAATTGAGTTAGTGCAGTGGCTCTCAACCTTCCTAATGCTGTGACCTTTAATACAGTTCCTCACGTTCTGTGTGGTGACACCAACCATACAATTATTTCCATTAGTATTTCATAACTGTAATTGTGCTACTGTTATGAACTGTATGTAACTATCTGCCTGCAGAATATCTGAGATGTGACCTCCGTGAAAAGATCATTCCACCCCCCCCCATTGGGGTCATGACCCCCACCCTGGGTTGAAAACCGTTGACTTATGATGCGGGAGAATTGTCTGTATTCTGTCAGCAGCTCCTCACTACAGACTTAGAAGGTCTAAAAGGGGTATCACGTTGGGGGGACTGACTGCAGATAGGGAGGTCTGAGAAGAGTTGGAAGTGTGGTTAGTAGGCAGATGTGGTTAGTATACATTGTATACATGTATGATTCTCAAATAAAAAACACTGCTCCAGCTGGGAGGTGGGGGTGCAGATCCTAGCACTCGGGAGGCAGAGGCAGAAAGATCTCTGAGTTCAAGGCAAGCCTGATCAGGACAGGCTCCAAAGCTGCTGAGAAACCCTATCTCAAAAAGAAAAAAAAAAACTAGATTTGCTTAGTGTTTTTGCTCACTGTGTACGTTTGGGCCTAGAACTGGCACCAAATTCTGCATCCTTTTTCTGGTGTTTCCCTGCCACAGGTTAGACATATGTGCACTCACCACTGCCTGCTGTGTAGACCTTGCCTCGGCTCTCAACACATGCAGAACACTGACCAGACTGAGCCTCGACTGGGTCACCTTGGCCCATGATGGGGTGGAACTGCTGTGTGAGGCTTTGACTTGCAGAGGCTGCACCATGAAGGTGCTGGGGTGAGTGATCACTGTGTCTGGGGTCGGGAGTGACTTTGGAGCAGCTCTTCTATGGCAGCTCAAGCTCAGCCCTGTTGACACAGGGCTGGGGAGTTTTGTTGTGCAGGACCAGCTTTATCCTCTAGGACACTGAGGGCCATCCCTGATCTCTAGCCATTCATAGGTACCGCCCTCTGGTGGTGATTACTCAAAATATCATCAAACATCTTCCCCAAAGCAATATGCCTTACCCTCTCTTAGGAGTGGATGGGAATGTCTGCTCTAGATTCTGTTAGGTTTTTAAAAACATATTTTGCTCAGAATTTTGTGATATGAGCTGCTAGGCCACCCAAAGGGACAGAATTCTAATCTTTGTTTCATTGCTGGGATAAAACACCAAACAAAACAGTATGGGGATGGGAGGGTTTATTTGGCTTGCAGGTCTATTATCTTGGGAAACTGAGGCAGGAACTGAAGTAGAGACCATGGAGGAATGATGTTTACGGACTTGCTCCCTGTCACTTTCCCAGACCAATTTTTTTTTCATACAACCAAGAATCACTTCCCCAAGGACAGTACCATGTTGAGTGAGCTGGGCGCTCCTACAGGACAGTCTGATGGAGGCATTTTCTCAGTTGAGATTTTCTGATTCCAGATGACTAATTTGCATCCATATGACTGAAAAAGAAAGAATTCTGCATTGAAACCATCTGGCTCTGGGCTTTTTTTGGTCAGGAGGTTTTTGATAACAGCTTCTAATTCTTCGCAACTAACAGGTCTATTTAGATTGTTCACCTGGTCTTGATTTAACTTTGGTAAATGGTATTTATCTAAAAACCAATCCATTTCTTGTACATTTTCCAACTTTGTGGCATATAAACTTTTGTAGTAAGATCTATTGATTCTCTGAATTTCCTCTGTGTCTGTTGTTATGTTCCCCCTTTTCATTTCTGATCTTATTAATTTGAGTGTTCTCTCTCTGCTGTTTGATTAGTTTGACTAGGGATTTGTCAATCTTGTTGATTTTCTCCAAGAACCAACTTTTTGTTTCGTTGATTCTTTGGACTGTTTTCTGTGTTTCTATTTTGTTGATTTCAGCAAATGGATGGAAATAGAAAACGCTTTACTGAGTGAGGTAACCCAGACCCAAAAAGAGGAATATGGTATGTATTCACTCATAAGTGGATTCTAGCCATAATTAAAGGTCTTTGAGCCTATTATTCGTGATCCTAGAGAAGCTAAATAAGAAAGTGAACCTGAAGAAAATCATGTTGTTATCCTCCTGGAGATTGGAAGTAGACAAGAGTGCCAGGCAACCTTGGGTGCACGGGGGGGTGGGGGGATTGTTGGAAGGGGACAGGGTTAGAGAGAAGGGAGTAGGGGAAGAATGGGGAAAGCTCGGGGGATTGGGATGGGGGGGAGGGAGGAAGGATGGATATGGGATCAGGGAAGTATATATCTCAACTAAGGGAGTCATTTTAGGGTTTACAAGAGACTTGATTATAAAGGGGATCCCAGGTCCAAGGAGAGATACCCAGATTGTTCTCTAAACAGAGGAGAGGGTGCCTGAACCGGCCTTGGCCCATAACCATACTGATGAATATTTTGCTTATCACCATAGAACCTTCATCTGGCAATGGATGGAGATTGAGACAGAGACCCACATTGGAATACTGGACTTAACTCTCTAGGTCCAAATGAGAAGCAGAAGGAAAGAGAATGTGAGCAAAGAAGGCAAGAGCCGAGGGAACCTTCACCAGTTGACGGATGGAGATTGAGACAGAGACCCACATTGGAGCACTGGACTGAGCCCCCAAGGTCTAAATGAGGAGCAGAAGGAGGGAGAACATGAACAAGAAAGGCAGGACCATGAGGAGTGCGTTCACCCACTGATACAAGGGGACTGATCTAATGAGAGTTCACCAAGGCCAGTTGGACTGGGACTGAACGAGCACGGGATCCAACCAGGTTCTCTGAATGTGGCTGGCACGGGGTCTTTCTGAAAAGCCATTGACAATGATACTGGGACTTGCTTCCTCTGCATATACTGGATTTTTGGGATCCAGTCTGTTTGGATGCTCACCTTCCTGGACCTGGAGGGAGGGGGGATGATCTTGAACTTCCCACAGGGCAGGAAACCCTGACTGCTCTTAGGGATGGGGAGGGAGGAGGAGAGGGAGTGAGGGGATTGGGAGGGTGTTGGGAAGAGGGGAGGAAATGGAAACTTTTATAAATTAATAAACTTTTATAAATAGAAAAAGAAAAAGAAAGAAAAGAAAAAAAGAAAGAAGTACAGATTTTTTTTTAATATGAGTAGCTAACACTCAGAGTTCTTGAAAGGTTTATTTACAGTCTTCCAAACAGACAATCAGGCTGTGGAGATGCAGTCCTTTAATCCCAGCACATAGGAAGCAGAGACAGGGAGATCTTTGAGTTCAAGGCCTGCCTGTCTACAGAGCTAGTTCCAGCACAGCCAGGACTGCACTGAGAACCCTGTCTGGGAGAGGGCGGGGAATCAGTCAGCAGTATTCTGACCAGGGAAAGAGACCAGGATCGAGCCTCGATATCTTCTCCTGATAGACAGTGTCAAAGGCTTCACTCTGGGCCACAGTGAAGACATTCTTCCAGTCGCCACAAGTGCCTGTCAAACCAGAAGGGAAAGCAGCAGGGAAATGAGTGAGCACCGCATGTGAGCAGCCAAGCCTGTCTCCCCCTGACCTCATCGATCCAGTTGGTGTCTCTCTCAAGACCAAAAGGAGTCATCCTACAACTTCCTGCTCTGTACCCGCTGTCAAAACCACGTGAGCACGAAAGGGATTTGAGGTTGGTGGCTGTGAGCACCTGAAATGTCACGTGGAAAATCCCAGTCTTGAAATTGTGAAGGGAAAACTGAGGAAGTTCTCACAACTGAACTTCAGTTCACCCCTCCATGTGGGAAAACTGTCAACCATGTGATAGAGTAGCAGGCTACAGAATTGGCAACAAAGTGTGTGTCCTTCAACCAAGGTTGTATTCTAGTTGAGGAAATGTTCACACAGCGCTATGATCAGAAAGATCTCCACTAGAAAAATAGTGTGCTCTACATCACTTTTTTCCATGTGGGATTTTTGCAATCTATTTCCACTGAAATGCATAGATAGTCCACTGCCACAAACATCTCCCAACACTACAACCTTTAGTCAAATATGAACGATCAAGTCCCAGCACCCTGGATCCCTGAACACCAGCAATATATTCTCTGCCTCTCCAATTGCCTTCTATTTTATGAATGTTACATAGATATAGCGTGTGCAGATTTATGTTGATGACTTTTGTCGCTCAGCATAAAGCCCCCGGAATCCATCCAAGTTGCTGCATGTGTGAGCAGATTCTATTACTGACGAACGATCATTCTGTCTTATAGACACATGGATGTCTGCAGGGGTTGTCTGTTGTAATCATAGCACCCTCTGAACTGGACAGTCTTGTTACTGTGACTGTATCTCTGGTTTCTTACAGACTTGGACAATGTCACTGTGACTGAGTGGTCTAACTGTATAGACTTATCCACTGCCCAGCAGCAGGACACAGGCACCTCTCATTCCTCCTCTGGTGAACTCTCAGTAATGGATCTGTGGCCAGCGACTGTTCTCAGAGAATATGATGGGATATGACTCTAGCTTCCGAGCACATCTGTTTCCATGTCTCATGCCTTAGCAAAAGCTGGAAACCTACCCATTTCTACAGTACAAAACGTGACCTGTCTCACCCTTTCTCAGCAATGGTATATTGTGGACCGTGTCATCTTCCGGATTTCTTAGCATTATACTGTTGGACATTGCATTCTCTTTCATGGCTGAGAAGGATGAGTGTTGGACAGCAGAATCGAATTGTTCTGGACTCAGAGGTTTGCCCAAAAATTGACACACTTTTTGCATGTTGCCTCTAAGGTCCTGTGGGTGGGAAAAAAAGTGATCAAGAGAGAGTGGATACTAGGACTGACGGAGATGGAGTGATCAGGAGAGAGTGGATACCAGCACTGATGGAGACAGAGCCCTTGATTGCTCATCAAGGTGAACACTTCCTTAGTGTGTGACCTGCTATTTTTCCAATATCCTACATCACATGTGTATTTATATATAATATATACTAATATGCACAAATACACATTTGTAAATTTATAGTGTATATTTATATTGTTTACAAGTTATATAATATGTGTATACTATATAATAATATGTACTGTACTATGAAAATATAAATTTATAATAAATATATGTATAAATTTGCATATGTATATATAAACATATATATATATATGAAGCACGTACACTCAGTGCCCACTGAGGACAGATAATGACATTGGACCCCATTGAGTTGGCACTGATGGTGGCTAGAAGCCACCATGTGAATGCTGGGTATTGAATCCAGGTCTTCATAAAAAGCAGCACGTACTCTTAACCACTGAGACATTGCTCCAGCCCCACCTTCCCCAATTTTCATAACCTGTCTTACATTGTGAAGGGATGAAGGAGTCTTGAAAAGAAAACCCATTCCTTTGTCAAGTCTGCCTGCCAGTCATGAGCTTGGGGAAAAAAGTTATGGGGGGTGAGGGGGTGCGTGGGTGTGTATGTGTGTGTGTGTGTGTGCACACGCGCACTTGTGTTTTAGGTTTCATGGAGACTGGAAGAGGGTTCAGAGTCCCCTGAAGCTATTGTTAGAAGCAGTTGTGAGCTAACTGCTATGGGTTTGGGAGCCAAACTCAGGTCCTCTGGAAGAGCAGCAAATTCTCTGAACTGCTGAGCCAACCTCAAGTTCTGGCTTTTCTTTTTCAAAACAGAAATCAATTCTAAGTGTATAAAATGTAGGATTTCATGATACCACTTTTATACATGTGTATCATTATATTGAATTCATATTCACCTCATCACCCATCATGTTTTGCTGTGCACCTCACCCCTCCTCCTCCTCCTCCCCGCACCTGTGTACCCCACACACAGCTCATCTAGATTTCATAGAAACATACAAGTCATTTTTTCTGCTCCCCCCATTACGCTCATCATTACTCCTGGCTACCAGCTTTCCACTGGCAAATTTTATTGGAAAAAAACAAGACTCATGAATCCAACTGGATCTAAATTTGGTTGAAAACTGGAGGTGGTAAATGAACAGGCACTTGCTTTAAAACACTGTATACCACAGAAAGAAATCGAAATTTCAATGGTCACCTGGATTAAATCATCCAATAGAAGTACATTTGGAAAAGAGAGAGTTATATGAAAAATCACTACTCTTTGGGGCATTAATTGCTGCATATAATATAAAATTTGCAGTGATGAGATTTTTGATGGCCAGTCCTTAGTTCTGACTTAGAACTCAAGCCTGGAACATTCTCTGAAAGTCTATATGGAAGGTCCTGGCCCTAAGTTTTACGTTCCATGGCCCTTTTGGTTGTCCCTGGACTCCAGTGTGAAGCTGTCAAGGTGCCTGCATCAAATGTGTTGATGTGGTCAGGTTACCAGTGTGGGATCCACTGTAACAACTTCCGTGTGCTAAGGATGCTGAGCTTGAACTCAGAGCATGTGTCAGGCTGGTATCCTCAACAAAAGCCATCCAAATCTTACCCTATAACTAAAAGAACATTTCGACAGGGCACATGTGTTTAATAAGACATGGCTAACACTTACCAACCACACACAGCATGACCTTCCCTACTCTAGATATTTGTCATTTTCCATGTTAGCTGAGTAGTGCTGTTTTTGCAGTTTCAGGAGAACAATGAGTCTCGGGGTGGTTTAGAACTTGCTATACCGGGCAGTGGTGACGCACACCTTTAATCCCAGCACTTGGGAGGCAGAGGCAGGCAAATCTCTGTGAGTTCGAAGCCAGCCTGGTCTACAAGAGTTGGTTCCAGGACAGGCTCCAAAGCTACAGAGAAACCCTGCCTCAAAAAAATCAAAATAATAATAATAATAATAATAACAACAACAACAATAACTTGCTGAGGTTATGTAGACAATTAAAGGCTGGGTTTTATACACCTTCCCTGAGTTAGTTTGTTTCTCTGTTGCCGTGATAAAATACTGACCAATAACAACCTGGGGTTTATTCAGCTGATAGGTTTTGAGCATCACTGAGGGAAGCCAGGGCAGGAGCTAGAGGCAGGAACTGAAGCAGAGACCACAGCAAAGTGTTGTATCCAACACCTCGTTGCAGCAAGGTAGAGAGAGGAGTTGTGTTTCCTCTGCCGGGTTAGTCTTTTAAAAGTGTAACTACAAAGCGGCTTTTTGAAACCTCTTTGGCACAGGTGCAAGAACTTTTGCTCCCTCCCATCCTGCTAAGTCAGCTTTTTTTTTGTTTTCTTTATCACCAGGTGGCTGGCAGGATGGGTTAAGAGACCTTGTACTTGGAATCTCCCAGGTGGGAGAGGGGAAGGCCACTATATTCCTGGGAAAACATTCTGCTAGGAAATTTCTTCTCGCACCTTTGAGAATAAGGGGTAGCACAAGGAGTGCTACTCACTGACTTCTCCCCCAGGCCGCTCAGGTGCCTTTCTTAGATATCTCAAGCCCACCCGCCCATGGATATCGTCCCCAGAGTGAGTAGGTGCCCTACATTAACCATTAACCGAGAAAATGCTCCCACAGAGGCAGTGTCTGCATTGATCGTCCCTCTCCCAGCTGTGTCCAGTTGACAGCAGATGCTGACTGTGATGGTCACCCATGATGGTCTCCCACTCACTTACCTGACTGGTTACCCCTCAGAAAAGAGAGAAAAGAAAGAAAGGCAGATATGGGAATGTGGGAGCACAGTGGAAGAGAATTACCCTCTGTAGCTCCTCATAGGACATGAGGAGGAAGTTCGCTGTGTCTCTCCTTGTTAGCCATCCAATGGTGTGATCAAACCAGGATCCCCAAGTCACTATGGAGGTGGGGAGGAAAAGGAAACAACTACTGAAATTTTATACCTCATGGATATTGATTCTTGTCCCTGATTGGAAGATGGCATTTACTTTGAGGAATGTAAGGGATGTCAAATTTCTACCTCTAGAGGTCTATAATGTAATTATGACATTGGTGAAGAAAGCTCACACGTGGTGTTTTTTAGACGGAAAAAAACTATACAAGCTTACTACCTACATTTCTAAGAAAAGAATTTTTTAAACTTCATTTCATGTGTATGAGTGTTTGTTGGAGTGAATGTCTGTATGTGCACTACATATACTACATATATGTGCACTATATGGTGCATGTTCTCAGAGACAAGAAGAAGTCATAGGATCTCTTGGAAGTAGAATTACAAGTGGTTGTAAACCATCATATGGGTGCTGGGAACTGAACCTGGGTACTCTTAAAAAGCAGAAAGAAGACTTAACCACTGAACCACCTCTCCAGGCCTACTTCTTTGAATTTGGCCTAGAAAAGTATGTAAAACAGCAGGATAAAATCCAAATACCTGTAAGAACTATTTTATGAAGTAATCATATGTTTATTAAATAATACTTCATCATGAATAAAACACCAAGAACTGATGAAATGGCTCAGTGGGTAAAGACACTTGACCCCAAACCTGATGATGTGAGTTTGATCCCTCAAAGCCACATAGTGGAAGGAGAGAAATGACTCCCACAAGTTGTTTCAGACATTCACACATGTACTATGACATGTGCGTAACCCCATATACATACACACTAAATGAATTAATATAATATTTGAAAATCATCAACTGAAAAATATAAAAATAAAAGATAAATGATCATTCATACCTAAGTGGTATATCATACCAGAATAGATTTTCTAAGTAAAGTGTATTAAATAAAAATCAGATTATAGATGGCTATCTATAGAACTTTTGACATCACAAAGTATAAAATTTTGAAGTATTTATTTTTGTTGTTTTAAATTGTATTCATATATATCTGTGTGTGATTATGTGTATACATGAGTGCAATTTGGGGGGATGCCAGAAGAAGGTGCTAGACCCCTGGAACTAGAGTTACAAGCAGTTGAGAGCAATCTGACATGCATGCTAGCACCCAATCTTGAACATCTACAAGAGAAACACACATTCTTGACAGCTAACCCATCTTTCTAGTCGCACACTGAGTAAATTTGAAACAATGTGATCCACAGATTTAGTTTTTAAACATGCAACACAAATCTACAGTCTTGGCTTGATTTCAAACTATGAAATTGATGGCCCTGGTTCCACTCACCATCACCTTGGATAAATGCATGAAGATATTCTCCAAAAGTCTGTTGATTATTCAAAAGGGACAAATGTTTTCCTATATAATAACCAGATGTAATAACATCTTTTGGATTCCTGATGACATAAATAATCTAAAATAAAGAGATAAAGTTTATTAGAAATGTCTGTCTTCATTTCATCATTTCATATTTCCACACACCCTAAATCAAACATCCTAAGTCTTTACACTAAGCCACAGCACACATGTGGAGGTCATAGGATGACCTGCATTTGTTCCCTACATTCATAACTGTCTTGATGTTAGGTTACCTTCTGTTCCACCATTTCCTTAACTCTGAGATAAAGGATGTTAAGTTGTTCTTCCATCTGGGGAATTTAATTAGCTGAACCAGGCATGCATGGTTCACTGCTGCAAGAAAAGTTAAGGGGCTGCAGAAATGTCTGTTGTTACAGCAGTGATTCTCAACCTGGGGTGCCCTAAGGCCATCAGAGAATACACACAAACGCATACACACACACATACATACATACATACATACATACATACATGTATATGTGTGTATCTGTGTATTGTGATTTATAATAGGAGCAAAATTGTAGTTATGAAGTATAGAGAAAATATTCTCATGACTGGGGTTCACCACAACATGAGGAACTGAATTAAAGGATCCCAGCATTAGGAAGGTTGAGAACTACTTGCTTAAAATGATTGCTGCCAAAAAGGAAATGAAAATTGAAGTTTGAATCCTCAGAAACCCACATGTAATGGCTATTCTTGCTTGTCAACTTGGATATATCTGGAATGAATTACAATCCATAAATGGAGGGCACATCTATGATCTGGCAGAAGACACACACTGCTACCATGAGGGCCAATCTCCAGCAGTGCAGGACTCAAAAGGATCCATGGAGTCTTACTGTGACCTTTTATCTGAGGGAGAGGAGAAAAGACACACACAAACTCTTGATGGTCTCCTTCTGACTTCTTCCTTACTCTTGTGTATTCTTCCTGTACCTCTTTCCTGGTGTTTTTCTTCTCTCATTCTTGATGTTTTTCTTTTATGTCTCTGGAATGTTTTCCTTCTAACTCACTCATTCTTGATTCTTTTCTACTAACTTACTTTATTTTTTACCTTACAAGTTATATACCTCGACCAAAATCTTTCCAGCAATATAAAAATTACAATGTGGTTTCATTCCAATTTTCAAGTGAATGATTACAGTTAATAGAGGTTAAAAACATGTTTTCCACATTCCTTCCATAATTAAACATTTTACATATTGCAGGTGGAAACCAAGTTGTCCCAAGAACCCACAAGAACATGTGCTTAACTATGTTCATAGCAGCATTGTTTGTCATAACCAGAACCTAGAAACAACCTGAATGTCCCTCAACCAAAGAATGGATAAGGATTCTGTCTGATTGACCTGTCCATTGGTGAGAGAGGAGTGTAGAAGTCTTCTACTATTAGTGTGTGTGGTTTGATGTGTGCCTTGAGTTCTAGTAATGTTTCTTTTACATAAGTTGGTGCTTTAATATTAGGGGCATAGGTATTCAGGACTGAGACTTCATTCTGATGAATTGTTCCTGTTATGAGTATGAAATGTCCATCTCCATCTCTTCTGATTGATTTTAGTTTGAAGTCAATTTTGTTAGAAATTAGTATGGCCACACCCACTTGTTTCTTAGGTCCATTTGATTGAAAAAACATTTTCCCAACACTTAACTCTGAGTAAAGGGTCTTTCTTTGTGGTTGAGGTGAGTTTCTTGTAAACAGCAGAATGTTGGATCCTGTTTTCACATCCAATCTCTTAGCCTGTGCCTTTTTCTAGGTGAATTGAGTCCATTGATATTAAGTGATATTAATGACCAGTGGTTGGTAACTCCGATTATTTTTTCATCTTTTTTGGTGGTAGAGTTTGTGTGTTTCCCTTCTTTGAGTTGTGCTGGTGAAGGGTTTGATTCTACTGCATGTACTGGCTTTGTGGAAGCCTAGTCTGTTTGGATACTCACCTTCCTGGATGGAAGGGGGAGGACCTTGGACTTTCCACAGGCCAGGGAACCCTGACTGCCTCTTTGCACCCTACCAAATGGGAAATGATTTTCACCAATCCCACATCAGACATAGATTTCCAAAATATAAAATGAATTCAAGAAATTAGACATTAATATTCTAAATAACCTAATTAAAAAATGGGGTACTGAACTAAACAAAGAATTCTCAATAGAAGAATCTCAAATGGCCAAAAGATATTTAAGAAAATGTTCAACATCCTTAGCCATCAGGGAAATGCAAATCTGCTACATCCACGGCTGTCACGCCAGTTTAGCAGAAATGCTGACTGGGCAGGCAAATATTGCCGGAAGGATTGGGATTCGTGCTTCTCAGAGCTGTGTGTTTCAGGCGGTCCCTTGGCAATCAGTTGTGGTATAATGCCACCTGAGTCGCCATTTGTACTGACTCGACTTCGCTGTCCTTGGAGCCATAATGTGTGTCTTTTCCCTTGTCTGTGTGTTCTTTGTGATCCTTACATATTGCTAACAGATCAGACTATTCCAGGCAGTTGTGGATATAAACACGACTGCTGAGGACATTTTTGAATTCTGCTCCACTATTAATTAAAGCCTTAAAAAAGTAGCCAGTTCTGGGAATTGCCAGAATCATCATTAGGACAATTGATTAGGATTCCTTGATGATGTGGAATAAAAGGAGTTAATCTTAGCATAAAAAACCTTAGAAGCCTTCTACAGGAAAACAGCATTAGGCATTTATGTACAACTTAACAGGAGGCCTATGCAACCTTCCTTATGGCCAGAAAACCTAGGCTAATTACAACATCTGACCCTGAGAGTTGGGAAGGGAAAGGAGTTGAGATTAAGGGTACAAAATGAGTCTCAGAAAGTTTTTCCAGGAAGATAGTAGCCTTCTTCTTTCTCACCCAGACACACAAGGTCACTTAGCTGAGCCCAGCCAGCCACCTGGTACAAGCTGATAAAGGTGGGCTAACTCAAGAACAGTGGTCTCTCTAATAACAAGAAAAAAGGGCTGACTTAATGGAATATGAGGGAACAAAAGTCCTTGTACCCATGCCAAAGCATCTTCAAAGATTCTCTTTATAAAACTGTTTTGTGCTGATCTTTTCTATTTTATAATCTGATGATGTATGCCTTTACCAATGAGTGATTGAGAATGGTTCCAGACATCAACCTTGGGCCTCCACATGCAACCATCCACAAGTGTGTGTGCACTCCACACTCTTGTGCCGACACATCACATATACACACAGGCACACTACATATACACACATTGC